GATATGCTGCACCATCCTTGATGCGTATAGAGACGCTCTCTTAAGTGTTTTAAAGTTAAGCACGACTAATTATTATCCATAAATTAAGAATGATTATACATTATTCTGTCAAGATATCTATTTTCGTCAGCTTTTATTAAAGTAAGTTTTAAAGTGTAATACTTTAACTTTAACATTTAAAGTTTAAAGTGCTAATTTGACTTTTAATTTTAAAGTAAAGTTAAAGTGCCACCTAGGAGTGTTACTTTAACTTTAAAAAAAACATTTAAAAAGTTTAAAGTTAAAGTAGAACACTTTAAAAGTTTTACTTTAACTAAAGTGGATGAATTTTGATATATTAACAGGTTAGAGCATTGTCGTCCTCAATTTACTTATAACAATGGATAGTGAATAACTTTAAATCACTATAACTTCAACTTTGATTTTTAAAGACTTAAAGTAGATTAAATTAAGTAAGTTGTTAATAAAAATGTGAAGAAGTTTGTTGATCCTCTTATGGTCAGAATACTAGAGATACTCTGATTATGACACAAAGCTTCTCGAAATATTTTTATCAACTTCTTTACTTTAGTCTACTTTAACTCTTTAAAAATCCAAGTTGAAGTTACACTGTTTTAAAATAATGCGCTATTCATTATGAGTAGACAGAGAATGATGATACACTATTCTGTTAAGATATCAAATTTTCGTCTGCTTTAATTAAAGTTAACGTTTTGAAGTGTGTTGCTTTAAGTCTAACATTTGAAATTTAAAGTACTACTTTAAACTTTAATGTTGTTCAAAGTGTTTTGAGAGTTAAAATGCCGCATCTAATAGAAACTGAAAAGAATGAACTAGAGGAAAACTGTACTTACATATTGTTCCAAGTTATTGATTTGATCTAACCGTTAGCGGTGACTAAACAAAACCTGCTAAAAAAACATAAACAAATATTATTCGATACCTCAATAGCAGGTGAAAAGATACGAAACCAAATAACTGTAGTTCAGTTTTTCAAAAGTCAATCATTTACTCTATCGCGAAGGAACAATTGTTAAACGGAGTATGACCTACACGTATAGAAGACGTTTGATAACTAGAGGAAAAATGAAATCAGTACAAGAAAGATTTAACACATCGCGTTCTAAAAATTCCTAGATTCTGATGTCGGCATCCTACTAAAGAAAGAGCAAACAAAAGCATTCAATTATACAGAAACGATATGCTAAGAAACAACACAGAAATAAGTCCTTCTAAGTATTGAGAGACAATTGTTTAAGATTACTCTATCCGAATAGTACAAATAAAAATAATTCTTATCAAATGTAGTTACTGACTAAACCTTTTAATTGTACTTGCCAGTCATAAAGATAAAACGAAAGACAAAGAGAGTATGAAAAGGATGCAGCACAAATATCGATCAATACATGACGATAGATCAAATGCTAAAATGAATGAAACTATTACTCTGAAAATATCAGACTTAAGTTACCATGCTGTTGAAGGGGCATGTAACAATATCAATACAGTATTGGTGAGTACTGGTATTGGTGACCAATATCGATACTCATCATTACTAATACGAATACCAATGGTAACCGATATCAATATCTGCATTAATACTAATACCAACATCAATATCAATACTGCCAATACCGATGTTACCAACACCAAGTGATACTGGTATTGATAGTCTTGATATTGTTACATCCCTACTGTTGAAATAATAGCAAAAGTGATGAATTTCTAGTATATCTAAAAGTTAAAACTAAACAAAGTGCCAATTTTAGTGAGTCCATATCAAGTTAATACTGTAGTTTATGAAACACCGAGCAGAATAGAATGCCAACTAACGATTTTTAGAAATCTGATGGTTCTGCTGCAGTCATGGGTACCCGCTATTAGAAACACTGCCTAAAATTCCAAACAAATATAACTGAATTGTTCTTCTCTATTGAATAGTTTATTTATCTGCAGTTTTAAGTAATCACGGAAAGTTTTGATAGCTCGTATCATCAATTCGTAACATTTAGAATCTCCGTAACAAAATATGATTTAAATAATTGTGTGAAATGTGTCGGAGAAGAAGAAGCTTGTGTTTATGATGATTATATTTTTATTACCCTTTTATCTAGTGGACCTTTAAAGAACGCTAATAGTTAATATTACATTGATAATTTCCTTACGGTACTGAAGAGCAACCATCAATTCGATTTATGACGTAAACTGAAATATGATCTGCATTAAATCAAGAACAAGAACCAACTTTTAAGAAGACGAAATAATCAATTTCATAGCATACTGTGAAAATCCTTTCGAATTAAAAGTACGAGAATAAGTCTTTGTATGGAGAATATTAAACTCTTTTAAGTTGAACAGTAGAAGAGTCAACCCTTTACCGAAGATTAAT